AAAACTAAGAGAAAATCAAAAATACAGCTCCACATACCCATAAGAAGGCTCTCGGCTACTTCCGGCTGTATTTTTGATTATCTCTTAGTTTTTATGAACCAGCTCTTTAAATTACATATCTTTATCTTGCAGAAACCGACCAAATAGTATTAAGATGATCAAACTTGGGTGTACGTCAAAATTTAGAAACAACGTCGCGAGAACTACGAAACGATGCCACAAATACAAGTTTTAGTCATCACAATGTATTCATCTTTAATTTTTCGATTATGGACCTCAATAACGCTTCCCGAGATAGGAAATTCCAGTTTTATGAACGAGGTCTTAGAAAATTATATTTGTTGGCATTGAATTGACGAAACTTTAACGGAAAGAAAAGTAGCTCACAACTTTCTACCTTTCAAGGATCTTCAACCTCTTGCTCATCGCTAATCTCATCCATTTGAAATAAACCAGAAAAGGTGAAAGACCACGATAAAAGGTTGCAAAACATGCTGCAAATTGTGAGCGATGAAGTTGAATAAAATTGTCACTCATTTTGTAGATAAGAAATTCGGGGAATTCATATAATATTCCTAAAATAGCTTCTGAAAGGGCTTTGAATGAGAAATGGATGAAATAAGGAGTTCGAATAATATTGACGACGTGCAAGTTCTCTATGGTATTTCTAAGTTTAAGTTTAACATATATTCATTTAGCATCGTTAGTTGCCAATGTCTATCCTCCCCACGTTGTGGTGAATGCTGTACGGGTAAGCATAAGCAAATAAAGATTCGTGTTGATATATGACTGTTTACACACTGAGTCGATTCCGCATATTAATTGCTCCGAATTGGCTGAAAGCTGATCGTGGGCATGCATGGAGTACGGGTGTGCAGTGGATTAAGTTAGAACCTTGGATTTTCTGTTTTAGCAAGGGATGGTTCTTATCAAGGTGGCCATTCTCGAAAGTGTGTGTACAGTAAATGTGTTTAGGGTAGCTGTTTTTGGAGGGTTTGAGCAAACAATAGGAAACTTTTTTTTATAAACTTAGCGTGCACAATCTGTCAAGTACGCTTCAAGATATTCAATTTTGTTCAAAACAACTATGCAAATCACCTTTTCTTAAATATAGATTTCGTGAACAATTGGAGTTGCTGCGTTAGGTCGTCAGCCCTGCAAAGTATTCGTGGATCATGACCCCGACCTTGCTAGAGGTTGAAAGTGCATAATCTTTCGAAATCGAAATCCCTTAGATTTGACAGTTTTTAATCAGGGTCTTATGTTTCATTAGTGGTCATTCTGTCTTAGAAATGAATAGAAGAACTACAGAACACTTTCTTATAAGCGGAAACTAATACCTTTGTTAGTGGAAAATCATCATAGATCATTTTGTACGCAACTTCACCCAATGCTTTAATTCAAAAAATCAGAATAACCTAGTCATTATGAGAGATCAAGTGGGAAGATAAAAACGATGATTGGTTAAATCCTATTTAAACATTTCAATTGCAGTAAGAGAACAACTTTCGATCGGCACACAACCAACTATCAGGCGTGGCGAGAGCAGATGACTGTATGCGATCTGCTGCAGGAGTACGATGCAGCTGTACGCCCAAGTGGGCGAACGCCATTCAACAACAGTAGTCAGTTGTTATAAAAATTGCTTTCGGTTTCCTTCCAATTTTTCCTTTATCTTTTTGTAAAACAACGCTTTTTACTGCTTTACAGGAGGCCCTGTCATAGTGACAACGAGTCTCAACATTCGATCTATCTCTGCTGTATCTGAAAAAAACATGGTAGGTGAATTGATATGGTTGATAC